TCTTGTATCACATTTAATAATTATATATGAATATATCCGTATAGTTAAACTTATATCAGTAATGCAAAATAACTATGATTTAGATTATTAAAATGTTTAAGATACAAAGTACACTAGATAATGTAGAGTTTAAACTTTGGTTGAGTTTCAACTCTTTCCAAAAAAACCAAATGTCAAGTAATTTTATTAGAAGGGGTTTTGTGGATATTATGGTAATTTTAATAGTTCAGATCATGAGTCAATTAAAGCTAGACCAATATAGAAAACCTTGAAGCACTGGACGGTCATTTCGTCTTATCGTGGGACTCCACAGCATTGCGCATCCACGATCCCTCCTCGCGAGATTCGAACCCAGAACTTACCGATCACCTAATTTTACTTAAAAAGTGAATACTCGTTAACTGTTGGTGTGAAATAAACAAGATTTAAATCATTCACAATTGTTCATTATTAATTAATCACTGTCTGCTTTATCAATTTCGCAATTAATTTTGCATATCAATCAGAAAGCAGAATAAAAATTTTTTAGCATGTTATAATTTGCTTGGTCAATGCCATGTCTCAGTTTAGCCATTAAAAATTTTTTTTTCAGTATGCAGTTGTTATACAACTTTGGTGGTCTAACAAATAACCCATTTTAAATGAGCTGTTATTTTGTAATACACCTTAAACGGAAAGATTTTGACTAATTTGGAATTCGCTATCTTCTTTTTTAACAAGAACTGTTTGTTTTTCTTTGTAAAAGTCACTCAATTTCGTGGGTTAGTTGAAGTTAGACATTAACACCGTTGAATGCCGACCGGTTCTGTGTTCCATTAATTAAGCGCTCGCGCGCGAGACTGATAGGTCCTGGGTTCGAGTCTTGTGTGGCGAGGTCGTGAATGCGAACCTCTGAGGGGTCCCACAATAGGACGAAACGGTCGTCCAGTGCTTCCAGTTTTTCCATGGTGGTCTAGCTTCAATCGATTCATGATTTCGATTATTGAAATTACTACAGTCTCCACAAAAACCCTTATATTTTTTATTGTTTTTGTTAAGGACTGAATTTGATCAGTCTCTATTGACATATTTGGATCAAAATTGAAATGTCCCAGTAATTTCATTTATTCTAAAGTTATAGCAAAGTTGTGTTGGAGCTATTACTCCAATTCATAATATGAGTTTCTAGTTAGCTCTACATATGCCTGTATTCTAGTGTTAATTTTCACATAGTAATCTAGTATCTTTCGCTTCGAACACTACTTTGTTATTCACAGAGGTAATAAAAATGAACACTGCTATCAGGTAAATCCAGATGCCGAATTCTATATAGGACCCCTAACCACAATCAAATTTTTCCAAAGATTTTCTCCTGTTTACAATTATATCAAGAATTTCACGGAGTTATCAATGAAACGATTGGTAAATGGTGAATATAATCGTGACTTGTAACACCCTGTGACACTTAAAAACACAATGGAAACTGAGATAAAGTATACAAATAAAACGTCTTTCAGTATATAATTTCAAATAAGTATTTTAGATTCTAGCATTATTCAAGCCGTTTTTTTTAAAAACAATAACATTCTTAGCATATTCAGTCCCTGAAACAAAGTTGTGACATATTAAACAAAAATTCAGTGTTCTTTGTCAAGCCCACGCTAATTGTGACACATGCAGCGAAGTTACTCAGATTATCAATATTCTATTAGTGCACACAATGTATTACCCTGTCCCCCTAAATACCAATCAGAACATTGAAAATACAATCACGTACTTTACATAATAGTGGACTTGAAACTTGCATGATTATGTGCTTGCAACTCAAGTTCACAACTCACCATAAATCATCATCTACAAATAATTAGTACGTTCATTGTGCAGCCTGAGTAACAGATCTATGAAGAATTAATCGAGATTTACGAACACGAAAATATATAGAATAAGTTGTTGCGTAGGAAATTTTGATCAATATCAAAATACTATAAATCAATTATATAATTAATAAATATTGAAAATATATACATTGATTTACACAAATTTAGCTACCAGCGCTTACTATTACCATTTATTCAACCATTCATACCGTCTTCGTTCACAGGGGTTCTTAAATTTCCTCGTAAATGTGATTATGATACAATCGCTGTTATTTATTTTTGTTTAATCATAAATCACTTGACACCAAGGGACATATGACTTGATATCGCTTAAAACTAAGTAATTATAGGATATCATTTATTTGGATTAAATTAGCTAATATTTGCCTGGTTAATTGGTAATAAACATTACACAACATTATCCTTTAGATAATTATCGAGCGAAGAAATTTCATATATATATGATTTAGAATAATAGTCATCAAGTGGATACGTTGCGTAATAATTATATAATAACATAACAATTATAAATTAACATTGAGTAATTCGAAAACCAACCAGTTGCTACGTTGCATGATCTATAAAAAGCAGAAACACGAAAAAAATATTTTCGTAGTCAATCGAAATGTTTAAAACATCAAAGTTACTCACTTCAATATAACTTGCAAACCACTGTTTCTTCGATACTGTTGTACTAAAACAATTATACAAAGCAAACCATTATTTAACGGATCAACGTGTCACTTGAAGTTTAAAGCTAAGTGACAATCAACAGTTCATCTTCATATTTTACATGGAAAAAAATCATTAGAAAAACAGTCTGAAATTAATAATTTTTCATCGAATTGATTAGTTATTGACTAATCTTTTTCTCCTTATACTAATTCTTGTTTTACAATTAGTTACTCACAAATTAATCCCAAGAGGGTGGCGGATGGCTAGACATAAAAATATAGTATGAAAGTAACAAATGAATTCAGGAATTGAGAAGTATGGGATAATATCAAGATTTGACATTAAAATGAAAATGAAGTATCATTGCATTTTCGTCAATGGAACACATGAGACATACGGTTCGGGGTGTTCAACATAAGAAAGTAATTATCATGGTAGTCACAACCGGGATAACAGAATCTCAGCCTGTTTAAAGAATTCATGGATCGGTGATACTTATTTGTCTGGTTACTTTTAGCTTTCTTCACGGCTACTCCTACATAAACTTGTATTGTGCACTGCAATTTGGATTGGCTAAACACTCATATCACACGTTTCAACCATTTAATACACTCATCAACCGATTTATGATTTCTTCATAATGCCACACATCTAATAGCAGAATTTCTCATGCTTGCTGAGCAATATATTTCAACGTCATTGAGTAACCTGACTAAATCATAATAGACGTGTGACCAATGAGATTTAGTAGTTATTTGTTTGCCATAACCAAAGATATAAACATTTGTTTGGTAAATCAATCAATGTACCGTACAGCACACAATATACCAATTTAAATTGAACCAAAGTTTATACTTTTTTGAAAAAACAACTTTTTAGTCTGCTGTGAAATAAAAATTAGTAAGGACAAACATATTACTTTTATGTGGAAAGCGTAGTATATGGAGATCAAATAAAAGTAATGACATCGAAGAATGAACTTAGTTAAATAGACAATGGACACCAGGAGGCAGTAGATACCCATTTCTCTCTAGTATGGGACTCCAAAAAGTGCACATCCATAACCACGTCACCAGGGATCGAATTTAGAAGCAAATTCTGAGCCGACATGCCATAGATGATATGTTTAACGTCAATCAATTCATGAGATAGTGTAATCATTTCCCAAAGTACTTGATGGATGACTGTTCGACATTCAATGTAATCGAACTTCACTAGTCACAGCTTCTCACCGGAACTCCGTAATTACCACTCAAAGTCAGTCATTAGAGAGTAGATGATTAATTGCCATTAAGATTTATGAAGGTCTGCATAAGCCCCTATCAGTTTGAATACTAAAGGAAAATCAACTTTAAACTTCTAATCCATATATACGTCACGTACAGATAAGTAGTTTTTTTACTATGTTAATAGTGATGTAAATATGGTTCGAACAGTGAATCAATGAGACAAAGAAGTATCTCTCTAAGAGAGGATAATTTAATTAACTAAAATGAGCGAAATTTTACAAAACTTAAATGTTATATTTTCGTGAATTTTGTTTGTGGAAATAATCATATTAAGAACAGACATATACTTTGCACCTTTATAAAAACTGCTATGAATTACAATCAACAAAGTGGAAATACATAATGTAGTGTTCTAATCATAAAACTTTACATCAATCCTGATCAACAGTCTGATTAAACTCATATATCCTTTGAAAAGAGGCATCAATAGTAACGAGATGAAAAAATGCTAACACAACTAATTGTAATTAATCAGTAGACTAGTTTTTTTCTTCAAAATTTCATCTCCTTATCAAAATAAAACCAGTTTCCATTATTGTATATTATACTTCAATTATAAGCAAAGATGGATAGTGACTAGCAGTGGAATCCAGGACGCGCGCTTCGTCCTGTTTGGAACTCGTCAGCTGGATGTACCTGCATCTCAGAGTTGATGTTCACTCTGAGACTCGAACTCAGTACTGTTCGCTTCAAACGCCATCGCGTTATCCACTTAGCTACTGAGTCCTGTTAACCACTTGCTTGTGCAATGGGGTGAAGTTTAACTCACTTGATATTGTTTTTACTTGAATCTTCCCATTGATGTTTTTTAGGACTGAAATTGATCAGTCTCTTATTGGCATATGTGCATACTGTGAAAACAATATCAAGTGAGTTATACTTCAATTAGTTTAAAAAAGAGTTTAGCTTTGATCATTAAACTTATTGTTTACAATTATTTTCAATATTCTCAAATAAATAAGTATAAAACAAGATCTTTAAAGCGTTAAATTTTTTTACTTCATTTAGAGTTCTTTATACAAAGTAATCATGTATATATTTATGAATAGAGCAGTTTTATGCTAAAGTATGTGGTCGTTATAATCAATATTTATGGATAAGTTGACCAATAGGAGACCAACTTAGAATATATATATATATATATATATATATATATATATATATATATATATGAAACACTGTTATTAGAACGCCTATTACACTGCACACTAGACTAAAACTATTACAGAATTTTATCTGGCAGACATCCAATTACAATAATAAATAGCAAAATAAACACTTTTAGTTCTTTTTTTTTCTTTTAGAATAGTTACTGCATTCAATGCATTGTGATTAATAGTTATTTCTAATAACAATTATCTTATTTTTATTTGTTTGTAACAATGAAAAATGTAAATACTGATCAAATTCATGACAATGAATTGAAAATGACAACTACAAAATCTATCCATAATATTACCACTTCAATAGAAGATATTAGTGAGACAACAGAAGATCATATCATTACTGATACTTACTGGACTGAGGTTAGTTATGATTATTATTATTAAACGATATTTTAAAATGTATGTATTTAAATATGATTGGTTTAATGAAAATAAAATAAATGTGATTCTCTTTGATCTACACACATTTTTTGCCCATGTTCACTATATCAAAAATGATCAAATTAACTAACTGTAATCATAAAGATTACTAAAAGTATAGTAGATATTTTGAGTTAGCTAAAGTTTTCCTAAACTTGAAAATATCTTCTTGATAGTTGATAAATTGGATGTTGAAATTTTTATTGAAGAATGATCTCATGACTTATTTATATTATAGATGAAGCTATAAAAAAGAACCATAGTTGTTTACCATTTATACTAACCTGAATTTGGAACTTCAAATGTTTTCGGAACTCTTTAAATAGATACCTCATCAATCAAAATTGTGTAAGATGATTTCTTCTCTTTATATATGTGTATATATGAACTAGTTTACATAGAGTTGCATGAAATCACTGTCATTTATCCAATACTAAAGTTTATGTTGAAGTATTGTCTATATTCTACCTAAGCTTGACTGAATTGAACTGATTGCTTTCACTCGACTTTTATCATTAAAAAATATTTGAGTTTTGAAAATGTTAGTCAACATTAAATATACTTAATAATTTGACTTGAAATAATTTATGTGAATACATTTGGCGTTAAATCAAACATCAATTTCATGTGATTGATACCTTTTATAAGAATTTAAACAAAACCTACACAGTAATTGACTCATCGAATTTTGTTTTTTTCGGAAATAAGTTCAGTTTACAATGTTTAATTGTGAATTAATTTTATTGTTCAATTATTATTTGAATATCTATTGAAAATTAAATAAAACTTTCATTCTTACTAAAACTTTTCATTCACTTTACCATTATTAAGTTATTTAGTAAATATTAGATTCTCATATACTGGGATTGTTACAACTAAATTGTGATTTTGTTCTATCTAAGGAATTGACACCTGAAATTCATATGCACTCATCTCAGTTAAATATGTACTAAATAAAGATTATTAGTGGCTAGCAGTGGAGTCCAGGACGCGTGTTCTGTCCCATTTGGGACTCGTCAGCTGGATGTACCTGTTGATAAATTGCAGTCGTAAATAACAATGGGAAGATACAAGTAAAATAACATCAATTGAATGTACTAAATGAAGTTTGTTGAGCACTTACTGATTGACTTCATAGCTTGTAGATAGTTTTAACCAGTATAACAGTTATTCAGCTTCATTCTTTTAAAATGTCCAATTTTTTAAAGCAAACTGTTTTTTTGTGAATAATGACTATTTGAAGAACCACAAAAAATTGATGGAAATTAAATGGTCCATTCATCCGGGTTCTAAACTGTAAAAGTTTGTATTCATGACTTCTTATAGTATTTGCGCATAATATAAAAAACCATCTTGTTTCATTTGTAAACTTCGTTGTTTTATGAATAAGTCAGTGAACTGTCACACATTATTAGAGAGTCTGTACTCATGTGTTATCTGGTCAAAGACCTACTTCATGTTCTATTACTTCTAAGCAGTATCTTGTGATATCAGGTCTATAGTTATGTATTTCTCTAACGTACATATCCATCTATAAAAAAGCCATTTATTCATCCAGTGCCGTTCGCTTCAAATGCCATCGCGCTATCGGAGACTATAATTTATGAACGAACCAATCAGGTGTAAGATAAGAGGTCTCGGATTTTGGCGCGAAATTCATTCATCCATTTGGCTAAATACTATTTCGGCATTATAGCTGATGTCAGTTCATGATGAAAACGCTAAATCTAATTCCTAATCCTAACCATCAACTGTATATCATTATTCTAATTCCTCACACTGGTTTATAACCCTCATTTGACCCTAGTGATTACGTGAGGATTCTCATGGTCACTTCAGCGTTGCTCAAAGATCGTCCATAAATTATATTCTCACCCCGTTATCCACTTAGCTACCAAGTCCTGATAGCCACTTGCTTGTGCATGTTGGTTGGACACCAACTGTTTTGTGAGTGATATTATTTCATGATTTAAATCAACTCTGATCTTTGTATCAATTCTCATGTCATCATATTTATTTGTAAATAATTTTTCTAATATTGTATATTTAATCTCTACATTAGTGTGCATCATAAAGATAACTAGTGTTTACATATTAAGAAATCTTGATTCAATTTGGTATTTGAATAAACTGATCATTGAATAAACAACAAATATCATTGTAATTAATGAGGGGTTTGATTCAATATAAAACCCTGTGTGTTCTTAATGCCAGTATCGAATGGAAAAAATATATAAATCAATAGGAGAATAGAAGTAGAATGGATTATACTACTATGTTCGTTTAACAACGCTGAGATTACCAAATCTGTTCAAAATGTAGTTTAGTTTCTAAGCATGGACAAGTTAGTGAAAATTGCATGAATGTTTTGTATTGAGATTATGAATAAAATGATTAATTATTTACAATAAGTATTGATTAATATGAAATCCATAGGAAATGTATCTAACTGAACAATTTTTTGATTCTATTCTACTTTCATTGATTAAGCATGCATAATACTTGACTGGATTTATGCTTTTCTTTTTCTAGCTTCCGTCTAATCTTCATTTACATTTATTTTCTCATTTATGTGTTACTATTGATATTTCTACATTGCAAAAGAAAAAAATATTATGTGTAAAACGGACTTATTTTTTATCTTGATAAGGCTTTTTAATTCAGACCTACGAGAGATAATCTGGTTAAAAATAAAGATTTAATATAATGAGTTAAGATGAATTTTTGTGAAAGTGACAGGTTTTGTCTTGAAATAAAGTGATTACTTCTATCTTATTCTTGAAAGTTTGTAATTTCTCTGGATCTTTCGTTTCTTTACTTTTCTCTTATTTCATAAGTGAGTTATGAATAAATGTAATTCATTTACACAGAATTCTACACCTTCAGACTAGCTAATTGTTAAAAAAAGAGAAAAAAATAGTTTCTACGGTAAATAACTCTTAATTATTAGCTATGAAAAGAATTTTCAGGCATCATTTTTTTTTAAAAAAGGGGGATCATTAGACTACTTGAAGTTTAAGTTGAATAATTTTCAGCATGATTAAATATAATCGAGCTTAAGTGTGCTCATCGATATTTTACTACCGTAAATTTGTATCAAAAATATTCCTTTTCTCGAAAAGTTAATCATTTATAGATCCGTTCCCGTATATCAAATACTACTAGACAAAGTGTAACTAACGACAAAATGTGGTTCATTTAAAGGATTTGTAAATTTTCACTTCAGTTAAACTGAGCCATTTAACATCAGGTCGGTGATAATAAAGACTATATTTGAATTATGATTGAATGAAATGAATTTGGTACTAACTAGTCTATAGCTTCAAGATTTAATAAAATTACATCTAATGGATAAATAAATAAATACTTCTAAGATGTACTCTTACCCATACTGATCATCAGCATTTATGACAAAAAACCTTTGAAATAGTTCAATCAATCAGAGAGCTTATTTTTTATTACTGTTTTTACCATGATAAATGTATTTTATTGAATAATCACTGCTTTTCAATAGACATTAAAAAAATACAAAATTTCCAGCTGATTGATCTCGATTGTTCTTAATCGAACTGAAACTGGATCAAGCTGAAAATAAATAATATGTATTTGCAGTCGTTTATATTTATAAGTTGAGATGTGCACACAATGACACATTAAGTGAATACACAATGACCATAATACTAAGATGCTGATAAGTGATTCTAATAGATAAATCTTTAATCTAATACATTATGATTACGAATGCTTTTATTTATTCAATTATGTTGTTCTCTGTTAGGTAGTGCATGCAATTTAAATATTTATTGATACTTTAAATAGTGAGTAAAAGAAATCTGAGTGTTTTAAGGGTTAATAAATCTGGTACGACAAGAATAAAACTCTTGATGAAATACCGTCACAACTTTGTCATCTTGGCTGGTAGTACACTAACATTTTCGGCAACAAATATTTTATTGATTTTGATAGTTGAGTTCATGAGTCAATTGAAGCTATACCACTATGAAAAACCTGAAAGCATTGGACGGCCGTTTCGTCCTACTATAGGACCATTCAACAGTGCTCATCCACGATCATGCCTTGCGAGATTCGAACGCAGGACCTATCGATCTCGTGTGCAAATACTTAACCTGTAGACCACTGATCCGGCCGGCATCTAACGGTGTTAATGTCTAATTATAACCAGCCCGCGGAATTGAGCGATAAATCCACCATTGTCTCTCAACAAAATTTTATAATTTCAATAGTCGAGATCATGAATCAATTGAAGTCAGATCACCATGGAAAACCTGGAAGCACTGGACGGCCGTTTCGTCCTGTTTTGGGACTCCTCAACAGATGCTATAATCAATGTATGAGTGAATTTAAGCAAATCAGGAATCGATATTTTGAACATTTGAATAAGGTATATCATTAAACAAATAATTGTTCTGTAACGAAATTCTCTCATAAACATTTATTTCTCTTAACTAAATGATACAAAACTTCACTCTCTCAAAATTTCTATTTATTCATTAAACAAATACTGAATAAAGTATTTGCACAAACTTCAGTTTTATTATTGTTCAATAGTGTTTTCTAGAAAAATCAATGTCCTCATTATTTGTTTACTCTGTAATGTAAAGTGTAATTCAATAGGACAATGATAACTTTTATACTTATGACCATGTTAATTTTAACCACAACTATTTATTTTGATCATTGACACTAATCAGAATAAAGTAAGTTATTCTAGAGAGTTAATTACATGACTTCATTCATTGATAATAAAATTAATGATTATTATTTGGCCTCAGTATACAGTAAACTTAATTCAATTTGTTATCATTATTTATCTAAGCAAGTTTAGTTTTCTCGACTAAAGGTTAACACGTAAATATTACCATGACTACAGATATAGAAGTGTTTGTACAATAAGTTTTAAACTAATGATGATGTTTTAA